CAGTATCACTAGGGCCAACCTTGCACAGCAAACATGTTGTGTGTCCTCTTTGCTATGATTCATTTGTTTTTTACTTAGAGGAAGGGTCTTGCTATTTTTACTTAGAGGAAGGGTCAGCTAGTTTAGGTTGACTTTGAACTCACTATTTATCCCAGGCTGGCCTTAAACTCCCAACAATCCTCTTGCCCCAGCCTCCCACATACTGGGATTATAGGTGTTTGCCACCACCCCTACCTGCCATGATTCTTAATAAAAACTGACACCCACGAACACAGATGATCTCTTCAGAGTCTGAGCGTTCAAAATCATTGCTCCAACAAATCTCGCTTTTTTTGCCTGTATTGTTAGTTTTCCTCCCTGTAGGGAGCCATTGAAGCTGGAGATTGGTCACATGTGTGAGGCTAAAGCAAGGCCAGCCCAGAAAAAACAGAGAGACCAAAACAAGCTAGGTAAACAAGCTGTACCAGCACCCAGAAGGCGAGGGGCCCAGGCCTGCCAAGCAATGGGTTGCTAGGCAGAGGGGCTGAAACTGACATCATTTTTCCCAGTATATAAATAAAGTTGCTACAGTGGTTGAGCAGTTCCTTTCCTCCCATCAGGAGGATAAGGGCTCCCCCTGACCCCAGCTTTGTCTTTTCTTTATTTTTCTCATCCTCTGGTGGTCCTTAACCCCAAGAACCTCATGAGCCACACTGGGTCGTGGCACCTCCCCACTCAGTCTTTGCTATCTATCAACAAGCAAGTGATTTTTCCTGTTTTAAAAACAATGGCCACATTAAAGCTCAGTGGTAGAGAACTTGCCCAGTATTATGAGAGCCTAGGTTTGATTCAGTACCACTGCAAACAAAACAAAACAAAACAAAACAAAACAAAACAAAGCCAAACAATCCTTCCCCAATATCCCCAAAATCAAAACAAAACAAAACCTCCTCTTTTAGACTCACTGTCACCCACTCTCATGACTCTAGATACCTAACTGTGTGCTGATGTCTTCCAAATTTGTGTCTCTACTCCAGACTCTATGTCCTGTGAATTTCTCAGTTACACTCATTATCACAGGGTATTTCAATTTATGACTTTGTTTTTGCAGTGCTAGAGACTGAACTCAGAGCCTCAAGCATTCTAGGTAAATGCTCTACCACTGAGCCACAACCCAACCTTAAAATCTTTTATTTTTTTAAGGATGCATGAGGTAATTAAAAATTTATTAATTTGTTTGCTTATTGTTAGTACATGTTTGTAGTGCATAATGTTTAAGTTCCTTGTGGAGGAGTTTGGTACATGGACACAACATCTTTTAATCCTTTTTTATCCTCTTTCCCTCTTCCCCCTCCCTTCTTCCTCCATCCCTTGATCCTTCTCCCCTATTTTCCATTATCTATCTTTATTTTTCCCTTTATTTATAATTTGGGTTTCTCATGAAAAGAAACCATGTGTCCTTAAGCATGTGTGTCTAGTTTATAATGGCAGATTCACGGGAAGTTGCAAAGCTAGTATTCAGGTTCCATGCACCATTTGCCTGTATTGTTAGTCCTACAGGGAGGAAAACTAACAATACAGCAGTTCCCTCAGGTGACTGCTGTGATTAGCGCTAACCACAGAAGAATACTAAAAACGGGATACTGACATCAGCATAATATATGTATGTGCATCTGTGTGATTTTACTACGTGTTGATTCACACAGACATCATTCACTCATGATACAGATCTAATCCATTGCCACAAAGATCTCTTTTGTGATACTTATTATAGGAACATGCATATCCTTACCTAACCGCTGGTGACCGTTAATCTGTTGCCCATGTTACCTAAATGCAGTCACATAGTACACAACTATTTCATATTTTATTTTATTTTCACTCAGCATGTTGCCCTTGAGGTTCATCTGAGTTGTTGCATGAATGATAGTGCATTCCTTTGTATTGCTGAATTCTGTGGTGCATCAGCATGGTCAATGTATAAAGTATACCTTCACTTAATATTGTCTTATGTGTTTTACACGGCTTTGACAGGTTAGTCTGATTGTTAATCTATGTTTATGATAATTAACTTGATAAAGACTTACAAAATAATAAATCAATCTGATTGCCTTGGTTACTTTTCCTCTCATTGCTGGGACAAAATACGCAACACCCAAAATTAGGGAAGGAAGTGTTTATTTAGCTCACAGTTTGTGGAGGTTTCAGTCCACAATTAGTTGGCTTCAAGGCAGAGTGGCCTGGCACCAGAGAAAAACTTCAAGGAAGCAGACGACAGCATAGTGACAAGGGCAAAAGAGGGGAAGACTGTTTTCCTCCTGTGTTTTGTAAGCAGGCTCCGCCTCTCAGGTGTATGTAGCACTCACACCATCTGTGTGCCCTCCTCTTGCACAGGCTGAGAATGTTATAGAGCCAGGACTCTGGCCCCCTGCTCAATCACTTAATTAAACTTCTGACCTTCTCAGATTGACATAATGGACAATATCCTACAGGGGTGACGTCATGTCCTTTATATCCCAGGATGGAGAGCTGCTGAGTTACTTAGGCTTCTAGACTTCTCAGATTGACACAATGGGTCAACCATAACACTGATGCTAATCAAAACAAAAAAAAAAAAGCAGATAGAGGAGAAGGGGAAGAAAAAAAGGAATTTAGATGTGTTATGTTTGAGATCCAATTTCCCACAATGAATATACTAATAAAATTAAACAACAACAACAAAAAAACAAAATAAAAGAATAGAATTCTGTGGAACTCAAGTAGTACAGTTTATCACTTCCTATACTGAGAGACCTTTGGACTTTTTCCAGTTAGCTGTTATGCACGAAGTTACTGTTTTACTTGTATACAGGTTTTAAATGTGGACATACATTTTCATTTCTCTGGGTTAGACACCCTGAAATGCAATTGCTGGGTTGTTATAAAAGTAAATTTAATATTTTAAGAATCCACCAGGCCATGTGTGGTGGCTCATACCTAAATCCCAGCCCTCAGGAGGCTGAGGCAGATGTATCCTTGCAAGTTTGAGATCAGCCTGGGCTACAAAGTGAGCTCAACGCCAGCCTGAACTGCACAGAGAGACCCTGTCTCAAAAAGATTTTGAAAAAAGGATCCACCAAACTATTTTCAAGAGTGACTATGACATTTTACATTCTCACCAGCAATATACCATATTAGAGACCAAGTTTCTCTGTGTCCTTGCTAGCAGTTAGCATTTGGCATTATCATGTTTTATTTCAGTCGCCCTGAGGGACATGCAATGGTATCTTACCACTACAGATCTCTAACGTCCTTTCTCCAGTTCTATCACTTCTGGTGCTCTGCCCTAGAAACTTCGGTTGTCATGGCCTCCTTCAACCCCTAGTTCCACTTTCTGAGCTCAGGGGGACTGACAGACTCCATCTAGATTCTCATCTCTGCTGCAAACCTGTCGCTCTCTCCAGGGTAATAAACTGTGGTAGGATTCAGTTGTTTCCTATTGGTGATATCTGTCCTTTGACTAACAATGAGATGTAGCATTGACATTCAGAACACAGGTCTTATGTGAACTGCCAGTTTTCTAACCAGAATATCTGTTGTATCTCTTATTTATTTTTATGTTTTGCTTAACTCCTAAATTTGGCATTCTATAATATTATCAGCACTGCCACTACTCATCTGTAACATGAGACATTAACCTCTTAGACTGCTCTTAAAAATCGTCAAGTGAAGAGTCAGTCTGTATGAGTCTTAACTCCTTGGAGATTTTAGGCTGTTGTTTGTTTTAGGAGAAGGGGTGAGCAATGTTGGTATTGCGGTCCTTAGTATGTGCTGTATTTCTTTTTAATCAGGAGACCAGTATGGATTGGGCAGGGAAGGAGTGTGTGTTGGTAACTGCTGGGAAGGAGCAAGAACAGTGGTTGACATACTTAGCTTGGAACCTTTGCCAGATATTCAGGACAGCTCTGTGAGGTAAATGCTTACTATGTTATCCAGATTCAGAAGATGAGAAGGCTGTAGCTTAGAAAAGGAAAACTTTAAAATAAAAATATGATCAATCTAAAAGGTATGTTTAGAATGTTGATTTAGACACTTTTTTATAGTCAATCAAAGTTTAGTTCCAAATGACCTTCAGTAGTAACCAAATACCCCAATAATAAAGAAAAGCAGGTTGTGCTTTGTAATAGCCCTACTGACCCCCTGGCCTGCTGCTGGGCTCAGCAAATCTTGATTTCCTCTTCACATTGCAAACAGACCCCACTGGAGTGAATGGGCTGAGTTGGATACCAAAGAGAGACACACAAGCAAACCATGAAGGTGAAATTCAGAGTCTCCAGAAGTGGCTGGAATTGGTTAGTTTTGTTGTTACTGTAGATTATGAACGTCAGCAAACAAAACACCAACCCAGAAGACACTATACATCACAGAAACTGCCCTCAGATTCCCATTTGAAAACTGCCAGCATAACTAAGTGAAACATTCTCCTAGGCCACCTTGTCTATGTCTACAGAGGATTTTCACAGTGCTTTAATAATTCTCAGAGTGCTTTAAAAAATAGTACCTTACGATGGGAAATTTAGCTAACGAAGTGAACCTTCTTTATGAACATCATAAGTTTTCTGGTTTTATTTATCCAGGTTGTAAGGACTGACAATGACTGTGCTGTTTTGGATAAGCTTTCATCTATGGCAAAATAATATTAGCAAAATGTGCCTGTTCTTAAGGGCAGTGACTCTTGGTTGGAGGATGAAAAGGGAGTGGAGACTGGAGCACTGGGAGAAGGGATAGGTAAAGCATGTGAAAATTTATGATTATTCCAAGCACTTGTTGGAAAACAGGGAAAGCAAAATGAGTATCTTGGAGAGATAACCCAAATAAAGGGTAAAAATCTTCATGTTTCAGAAGTAACAGTAAAGGATTTAAGGAAGTACATGTAGGGAGCATAAAACAACTAGGCTTGAAATTCATGCACAGTCAGATCGTGATAAACCACAAGTTAGTGGGCGTAATTCAAGAGTGGGACATTTGAGTGATGGAATAAAACTGTCTGCAATTTCCTAGACTGGAGACATTTCCTGCCTTGGATGTCTCGATCTGTTTCATTGCCCAAAAAGTCCTACTTCAAAGTGTTTGTGGGAGCAGAAAGGCAAGTTGCTTAAGTGAGTATATTCAGTGCTGGGTGGGAGCAGCAGAGGGGGAGGGGATTTATGAAGTCAGATTGTGTTTAAGAGCACATAGGCCACTAGCAGATGATCATCTTTATGCCAACCAGCATCCAGGCAGTGCTCACAGAGAAGAAAACCCTGGGAAGGAAGAATTTCAGCAACAGGACCCAGGACTCTCTGAAGTTACGTAGGTGTATAGGTAAGTCACGGTGGTGACTGTGCCAGGGAACAACATGGGAAGTCACCTACCTTTAAATTTAAAAATTAACTCTTTTTTTCAACTTTAGAGTTGCAGTGGGGGGCAGGTTTGCTATAATATTAAGGAAGTCCTGAAGGCTCTTTAGCCAGATATATTACTTAAAATTATAAAATTTATTTTTCCCAGTTTGTTTCATCATTTACTTTTTTCCTATCAGTATGCACTCGTTCACACACACATATATCTATATTCCTTGTTGACAATAGGCTTCATACAGCATGCTTCATAATATTTCAGTGTGCATTTTATAGGAGCAAGGATATTCTATTAATCAGGCTACAGTTTTAAATTTTAATATATATAACACTAACATAAAATTTTACTTCCTCCACTGACTATGTTTTAATTTTTCTAATTTTACCAGTTGTATTAGTAGTGTTATTTGTATCTTTTTTCTTTTTTCCTGGTAGAGAAGCCCTATGTTTGATAAAGTGGTGAGATTGGCCTACCAGGACGTAGATGCATGCTCATGGCCTCCACTGTCACCAAGATCTTCATTAGTAAGGAAATTCACAGGACAATGGATTTCCTTTGATTTCATTCTTATTCCACTTATTCCCTAAGAACTCAAACTTTATTAGCATAAATACCTTAGTAATAAGAGGTCTGTGTTTGTTTCTTACCATTGGGACAAAATGTCTGAGCACCACAATCTAAGGGAGGGGAGGGTTATTTTGACTCATAGTTTACATGGGTTCACTCCATGGCTGGTTGGCTGTAAGGCAAAAACAACATGGCAGAACAGCATGGTAGAGAAAAGTTACTCACTGAATGGCAGCCAGGAAACAGAAAGAAAGGGGAGGACCCAGGGATGAGAGTATGTCCTTCCAGGTCACACCCCAGAGACCCACCTTCTTCGACCATGCCCCACTTCTGAGCAGTATACTCAGCTCTGGAGTCATCAGTGGGCCAGTCCACTGATGAGCACAGCATCCGCATGATCCAGTCACCTTCCAAAGCCCTACCTTTGAATATGAAACTTTGGAAGAACACTTCAGATCTAAGCCATCACAAGGTCTTTAGCAGAGGGAGGATTCTGATATGACAACATGTGTCTTTAGCAGGGATCTGAGATGTGAAGTTTGATGTCTTTCCTCCAGCCTCATCTCAGGATTGAGAGTAGAAAAACCTTTCGTATTCATTTATAACTTTTTAGGAAAGGAGAGTAATAGTAATGAGCAAAACTAAGTTTAGGATTTCTTTGTATTCATTTGTCTTTTTTACTATTCTCTTTGGAGACTTCAAAATAATCTCTGGGTTTTTTTATTTTTTATTTGAAAGAAATTAAGACAAAAGAGGACATAACCAAGCAGATCAGATCAGAACAATGCAAGGAATACAGCATTTTACCACAAGACAACCCATGATTACAGTAACTACCATAATGTCTTTTTCTTTGAAATAGTTGAGCATAACTTCATATACGATAGTATCAAACATAACAAAATAGTATAAAAAGGAACACTCCTACACTGTTGGTAGGAGTGTAGATTGGTATAAACACTTGGAGAACAGTCTGGAGACTTCTCAAAAAGCTGGGATTGGAAGTCCCATTTAACCCAGCTATTTCACTTCTAGGTGTATTTCCAGAAGAACTGAAATAATCTCTGTTTAATAATTGATTGGTTTTAGCTGGATGTGGTGGTGTGTACCTGTAATCCCAGCACCTGGGAGGCCAAAGCAGGAAGATTGCCATGAGTTCAAGGCCAGCCTGGGTATACAGCGAGTTCAAGGCCAGCCTGAACTACATGAAGAGCCTGACTCACAATAAATCAGAAAAATGAAGCATTGAAAGGTTTTAAATTCCCTCACTGACCCCTCATCCGTAAATGCATTTCAGGAGCATTTCCCCTGGTTATCTTCCTAATCTTCAGGAGCCACCACTTATTACACAGTAATGGCAGGAAGGGACAGGATAGATGAGGAAGGAGAAGAAACCACTTCCCAGAGCCTCAGGGCCATGGATAGGTACTGGTTAGGAACAGGGCTGCACAGCAGGTGTGAGGAGGATGAACGAGCGAAGCTTCATCTGTATTTGTAGCCATCTCTCATCGCTGGCATTGCCACTTGAGCTCCACCTCCTGTCCGCTCAGTGGCAGCATTAAATTCTCATAGGAGCGAGAACCTTGGTGTGAACTGCACATGCAGTGGCTTTAGATTGTGTGTTTCTTATGAGAATCTAATACTTGATGATCTGAGGTAGTGATCCTTATGCTGGGGAAAGTAATTATTATGTATTGCAAATACATATTATTTAAAACATAGTCTTCTATGAAACTGATCCCTGACGCCAAGGTGGCTGGAAACCACTGTTACATGATGTAGGATGATCATGGTTCCTATGGGAGTCAGTTTTTATCTCAACACCATGTCCTTCTATCCCCCTCTTCTCCAGGCAATATGAAGCTGACCCTGGTACAGATCTTTTTCATCATGCTTCTGCTGCTGCTGGGCCTGGGGCTGGGCCTAGGACTGGGACTGCACATGGCTGCAGCAGTCCTGGAGGACAGTGACCAGCCACTGAATGAGTTTTGGTCCAGTGACTCACAGGACAAAGCTGAGGCCACTGAGGAGGGAGAGGGCACTCCAACCCCAGAAACCCTGGTGCTTAGCAACAAAGCAGTTGTGCAACCTGACTGGCCAGAAGAGACCATCCTCAGTGAAGATGAGGTGGGAGGGGACCCGGCTCTCAAAGCGGAGGTCTCCTTTCAGAGCTACAGAGACTATCTTAGGCTTGACTTGACGGACAGAGAGTGTAACACCCTGATGGCGAACAAAGTGAAACAGCCCAATCAAAGTTGCGTATCTGAGTACACATTCATACACGAGCATCTTCACACAGTCAAAGCTGTCTGTAACAGCCCTGTTGTTCCCTGTGAGCTCAAGGGGGCCAAATGTCACAAAAGCCCTCGTGCTTTTGACTTGACGTACTGCAAGTTGTCTAAACCAGGCCAAGTCACTCCTAAATGCAATTACATAACCTTCATTATGAAAAAGGTTATTCTTATAACCTGTAAGGACATGAAGCTCCATTTAACAGCTATACAATGATGCAACTTATCCTCTTCTTTCTCTACATCTTATTCTCTTTCATTTGCTTCCCCATTTCCATTTTCTCTCATTGTTCTCCCTCCCTCAGGTATCTTGTGGTGAAGGTCCTGAAAAGACAGCCTGTGCTTTATCATTCTCTTGTGAAAATAAAATTCCTTGCCTTATGGGTCATACACTTTGCATTGTGGTCCTGGGAACTGCGGTGGCAGAATAAAGCAAAGATGGCTGGGTTTTCTGCCTCCTTTCTAACCCTTGCCCTGGAAAGGGGTAAGCAAACTGCCGCTCTTGTCCCCATCATGACTGTTGTCATCCGCCTCTTCCTGGTCTGAGTTTACCTTCATGCACGAGTTTAAGGCATTCTTCACCCATCTCCTCCCTGATACCCACCCCGAGCTTCTATGGCAATTACATGAGTCCTAGGTTTTGCACAATTGCACTTCTCTGCTGTGGATGCAAATCTGTTACTGCAGCTAGAAAACCAGGTGGATCAAGTTTCTTTCCCTGAGCTTAAGGGAAAATATGTGGCTAGATGGGGCTGTCTGCTGATAACGTGGTTTTGAGATACAGATCACCAGAGAATTCGTGCTGGGACGAGGATGGTCTTCTTTTCCTTAGCTCTCTACACTGCCATCTTCACCTCTCATCTTTTCTACATGCCTCTTTGCTTTGCTTATCCCCACCCCTTCCTCTGTCCTCCTTTCCTGTTTTTTTTTTAATTAGCATTTTGATCTCCTTCTCTTGATCTTTTTTGCTTATGCTTTGCCAAGTAAGCAGATATTGAACCCTGTCAGAGTCTGGTGCAGGGAGTTAAAGAGAAGGGGAGTCAGGAGAATCAGAAAAAGAGAGAAGAGGAGAGAGAAACAGCCATTTTTCCAAATTAGGATTAAAAACAGAATAGTGATCACTTTAGTTGCTCAACAGAATGAATGATATGAGAGGATATGTCATTCAGCATTATTAAGTAGCACAAATGGGGCTGGGAGACCTCTTCCACTCTCTCCACCCCAGGGCTATTTCTCCTTCTACTGCTCTAAAAAAATAACAAAGATCTTAAAAATCTCTAAAGCCCCAGGCCAGAGCACATACATATCATATATCATAGCCTGACCTTCAGTAACCTTTTTCCCACTCAAACCTCGTCAGGGATTCATACATATAGACTGTATCTCATGTATTTAATCTAATCAGAGCGAACTCTGGGACTCATATGTGTGCTCGGTGCCTCTGAGATGAGTTAGCATCCTGTCAATCACTCCTGTCAGCCTTATCCAGAGACCCAGTGAGAGACCCTGGCTGGAGGGCACATCCTTTACAATGCAAAAGTATCTGCATGTTTTCCATTTTCCTGTCATCCCAACACCACTTTTCTGTTCATGACACATCTTTGTTTCTGCTGTCCCAGACTTGCTCTGAGGACATCTTCCTGTTATAATCAATAAATGTAGCTGCTTTTTCTTTTACCATTGAAGGCACACTTAATGTACATTTGAAGTTCTTTGTTAATCATGCATAAGAGCCATACATATGTCTGTCAAATCCATCACATGTTATTGATATAGGGGATATGAGACAGACCTCCAAACAATGTAAGGTAAATATTACAACTCCTAGCCAGCTGGATGCTGAAACTCCGAGTTCATGTTCTGTGAAACTGAGGAATGAATTCTAGGAACAATGGTGGTTAAGATAGGAAGAATTTATTAAGACAGAGTTAACTTCTGTCTAAGAGCAATGCAAGGGGCCCTGAAAGTGGGTTGCTATTTTTGCCAGGAAGTTGTTGGGTGCAGGGGGACAGTAGGAAGGAAATTCTCAGGCTGTTTTCATTTCAAAGGCCAATTTCTACTCCCTCCCTTGCTGAAACCAAAACAGACCTTGACCTCTTGGGGCCAGCATCTGCACATTTTTTTTCAGATGGATAGGATATTTTTCCAGTAACTTCTCCACCCCTTCATCTGAGCAGAGAAGAGGAAGGATGGGGATTCGCACTGTCAGCATGAAGAAGCTGGAGAAAAAGCCTATCTAAAAATAAATAAATAAATAAAAATCAAAAAACCCCAAAAAACCCAAATTCTAGTGTTTAAAGATCTTCTCAACCTCTTGGTCACAATTCCACATTTCCCTTTATACCCCTGGCTCTCTTTTGCTGGCAGTGACTTCTTAATACCACAGTTGTTTGGCAGGAGGCATCTTCTGCAGCCTGCCCTGATGTTTTAGTGGTAGGAGAGTAATGGGGGGAAAGGGATGATGACTCCTCTCCTTTATAATGGGGAACAGTTATCTAAGGCAAGGGATGAAATGCGCCATGCGGTTAGAAGAGATGAAAAAGGAGTTTTATCAGAAAAAAAATTTTAGCCTGGTTAGGAATTTCCTGGTAGGAAAACCCAGAGCATTAGTATTGGGAATAGTGTAAAAAACATTTGAAATCCAACTTCATCTCAATCAAAAGCAAAGGCGCCACTGTAGGGGCCAAACTATCAAGACAGGGGTTAAAAGCCTGTATTTTCTCACTTGCAGATAGGACTATGCCTCTGACAGGTCCCTGGCTTCTCCCCCTAAAGGTTTCTCACACCACGCAGTGACAGCTCCTGACTCCCCCTTCTGGTGGAGGAAAAGTCCATCACCAGCGAAAAGTCATGGTCAGGCTTTATTCTGATCTGGAAGACTGGCTCAGGAAAACAGTGTATAAAACATTCTACAGGATTCTATAGTTTCCGTGGTAGTCAGCATAAGACATAACACAATGAAAAGGGTTTTTGTTTTTTAAATTTAATGTAATACAAATAGATATTTAAAAAAATATAAAAAACTAACCAATTTACTTCATAACAAAATGGATAAGAGAGTAACAGTGAGTATTATACTGTGCACCATGATTTTGTAAAAATGGCCAAAATGCTACTCAGAGTACAAGTCATAAAAAAGGATTACAGGGTCGGGGGTTTACCTCCGCAGAGTGAGCGCCTGCCTGGCAAGTGCCAAGTTGTGAGTTCGATCTCCAGAACAAAAAAACCCAACAAAACAAACAAACAAAAAGAATTACAAAGAAGGAACAAATAAAAGGACAAAAACTTCCTTTTTAATGAACAAAAAAGTAATATAAATGAAACAAATCACTAGTCGTTACAAAAAGGCAAATTAAAACCCAGTGGACACCATCTTACCCCAGAAAGAATAGCCATCATCTGAAGACCAAACAACAGCGAATGCCAGTGAGGAGAAGCGAACTCCTCTACACTGTCAGTGGGAATGTACACCAGTGCAGCTCGATGGGCCACTAATACAACAATGGAAGTCAGTGTGGAGATTCTCCAAGAATTTAAAAATAGAAATTCCATTTGGCTCAGCTATTTCCCTTCTTTGTGTCTTCCCAAAAGAATTAAACTCATCATATCACCAAGATATATGCATATTGATGTTTACAGCAACATAATTTATAAGACATAGATCTTGGGAATAGCATATATGTTTACTAACAGAGGAATGGATATGGAAAATGTGGTTCCTTAAAGAAAGATAAACTCAAGGCATTTATAGGCAGAGAGACTAAGATTGTGAGAACACAATCTTAAGTGAAATAAGACACACAAGCTTGACTATCACACAATTTCTCTTTATTTGAGAAACTTAGTATAATAAAAGATAAGTAGGGAGCAGGGGGAAGCTCATAGGACTCCTGAGATTGTCTATTCTGTTGATTCAAAAATATTTTAAGATAAATGCTAATTTGCTTCATTATGCTACTGATTTCTTTTGTTGACTCATAAGTTTTTGTGGACATTTCAGCTTCCAAGGCAGAAGAAAATTCACCACTGTCCAAATTCTACCCCACTCATAAAACTTTGACCCATTCTTTTAACTCTGGTGAAGCTGCCTCTTCATACTACCATTATTTTTGCTTTAGATCAGATGACAGATTCCTGGTCCTTTGTCCACAGTTCCTAAGTCTCTAAAGTTCTAAAAGCCAAGTTTTTAAAAAAGTGGCTTCAAAACTCACTTAGCTGTGACACTTGAACTAACACTGTGAAGACGTTATCTTTATATGACCATTGCACTTTCACAGTATACACTTTCACACAGACTATTTTTATTTTTATTTTAAAGAGGATAAAATCAAGCAAAATAAAACAGAACAAAGCCAATCAAAACAAGCTAGTGTAAGTGGAGTTGAAAACAATGTGAAATCAACAGTGGTTACCATAATGCCTCTTGTTGTCTTCAAAATAGCTGTAAATACCTTCAGACACAATAAAAATCAAACAAAACACAACAAAATAGAACTAATAAAAACAAAACAATGCATTCAGTAAAGAACTTCAAAACAAGACAATAGTAAATCCAAAATGGCTACCATAATATATCTTCTTATCTTTGAAATAGCTGTCCATGCCATCAGATAGCATAAAACCAAACCAAACAAAACAGAATAAATCCAACCCAACAAAACAATGAAAATGATACAGGACTTCAAAACGAGGTTATAGGTAATTAACAATGGATACCCCTTCAGGAGGAGATCCCCAATAGATGCTACACTTTGTATTATTATCCTCTGAGTAGATGATCAGACTACAGTCTTTATATCTACAAAGTCAGTGCTAAACACTACAAGCATTAAATTGCATTTTTACCTCAATAGTTATAACACAGCCTGTGTTTCTCCAGATCAGCCAGTCACTTATGGCAGGGGATGGGGTGAGAGTGGGATTTGCTTTTCTTATTTCCCAGACCATGTACCAGAATGGGCTGGCCTTGGACTCTCAGTGACCTGTGCATGGCGCCAATTTGCAGGGAAGACTTACTTCTTGGTTTTGTTCTCTTCAGTTTTTAAATAGGGTCTTGTTACATAGCTCAGGATAGCTTTGAACTCACTATGTAGCCCAAGCTGGCCTTGAACTTGTGGTGATCCTCCTGGCTCAATCTCTTGAATGCTGGGACTCTGCATGCACCTCTACTCCCAACTCAATATTGCTTGTAAAATCTGGAAAATTTTGAGTTCCAAAACTCACTGGCCCCAAAACTTTCAGGCAATGGATAAATAATATATAATATAAATACTATATAATTAGCTCTTAATTAATTTAAGTATACCAATATGACTCTAGTTATGTCCAAGAATCTTTGTGGAAGCAGCTATATTATAAATTTCTTCTCTATTCTTCAATGGCACATTTACTGATCAATGGTTACCTACTTATAGTTTACACAATCCCTCCTTAGATGATAAAATAAT